CGTTAGTCCATTCCCGGGATGATTTATGTGTCGGCGGAGCAGAAATACAAACAGGTGCTCGAACCCAACTCGAGAACCCAAACTCGTCGAAAATAAAAAGAGGAAACGAAGAAATGTAAAATATGTGTCCACGCGTGTATGTATAAATATATGGTGGAAGGGGATGAGGGCATACGTCTGGGGGTGAAGCGTAACTAAATGGTCAACTCGCTCTTTCACCTTATTTTCTTTAAGATCGGTAGACTCAACTGCAGATCTTTGTGCGTTCGTGGGAGATGGGAAATTTCAGGATGCAGAAATACAGAGAATGCATCGTCAATTTTCGAACAGACTCCCTCATTGTAAATCGCTGTGTAAATCGAGCAGTACAGGATAGAAAGTAGAAATATTGCTAGAGTTTAATGAGAAAAACAACGAAATAACAGCTACTCGGATGAGATCTAAATATATTAAATTTTGCCAAAAATATGATGCATAGAAATCCACAGGCCATAGGTGAATGATCAGGGTAATATATCTATTTCAATGTTCGAAACTTCGATACACAGAGCGTGAACGTTTTGTCAAGTTTCTATTTGTAAATGAATGACCGAGCGAGCTACGAATTCTTTTAATATCGTGATCGTATCAAAAGCTCAGTGAAAGGCATGCGTCACTTGGAATTTCATCCGTGGCACACGGGTTGTTACCTGAGTGAAAAAAAGCCCGCGTCTCTTGTTACTTCTCTCCGGCGAACGTGACTTCACGGTAAAAACCGACAAAACCCCTTTGCATCCCCGTGGATGGTGGAAATTTCCTCGAGTGTGAAGTACGATTCAGAGCAGAAAAGGAAAGGTGGAACACCTGCTGCGAAACCGCATGCAGATGTATTCCGGTGTTTCATATTCAAAATGAAATCCGTGGACCGATTTGACGACGACGTTAAACAATGGAGACGGAGAGAGAGAGAGAGAGAGAGAGAGAGAGAGAGAGAATTCTCGTAGGTTTCTGGCGCGACTCGAAGCATCTTTCGAGCCAGAAAATACTGCTGTTCGTAGATTCTGTTCGAAATTAACAGTCATTCAAGGCTCGTCGCATAGAATTTTTTCAACATGGGATATGAAAATAGAGGTACTATAAGAAACGAAAAAGAATTCTCTGAATTTATCGCGGCGCCCTCGCAGCCGACCTGAACATTTTCGAGACAAATGCGCATTATACGTTCCCGATGCGGCGCGATACTACCTATTTGTTAAGATCATCGTAGGCGCGTGTGCACAGGTTCGCGAAACGCGCGTTACAACAGACGCATGTTGGTACACTATCGTTCAGAAGTATCCGAACCCTTCAAATCCGGCCGAATTAAATTAATAGTCTTTGACTGTGGACTGCGGACATTGGATATTCGAAAAATTAGAATCTTGGACTCTGTTGGAATCTTCAACATGGTGCAGGTCTATCTTGGAGCCTTGGAATTTCTAAGCGTGTCGATCGGACAATTAAGAATTTGGAAACTTCGAAATTTATGAGCTTCACAGAATTCGAGAATTTTTGTATTTTCAAATATTAGGGTATTCTCAATATTAGGGTATACTCTACAGTAGGTATGTTTCTGTATTGTTCTGTACCTTGCTCACTCCCAAATCTTTAATTGCATTTCACTTCACCGATCATGGACGCAGCGTGTTGGCATACTTTTGAATCGCAGTGTAATTAGCAGGGAACATTCTAGCATTTGTTTGAATATACTCGAATCTCGTTTACCCCGAAATCTTTCATTGTCTCTTACTTCATTGACTATGGCCAGGTATACTTTTGAACCGTAGTGTAAGAGTGTGTAAAACGCATTTACGCATGCAGGGATCGGCAACGGATTGTCCAAGGGTCTTGGCGATCGGCAGGGAACAGGGCCATTAGTAACGCTTATCCGGCATAATGCGAGAAAAATGGCGGTCGAATTATTTCGCTAGTGGGAGCGAGGCTGGACAAAGGTCCTACCTTGCGAGGACATGCGGTGGATCCTTGGAAAAGGGAGCCACGGGGTTCCGGCGATGCCGATCCTGGCAAAAAGGGGACAAGCCGGCACTCTTCTGTCGCGTTAATCGATACCATCGAGAATCCCGTTCGCGATCGATGTTCCTCTTGGGAAACCGTCATCTATGTATAGACGATCACGTTCCTTGGATTTTTAGCGTGCAATCGGCAACATTTGTTGCTCGCTTGTCTTCGATACGATTAGGCAATTTAATATATTACAAAACACTTTACGTGTAAATTTACGAAAGTATCCAATTTATTGACTTTTGAAATTTCTGAAATTATTTCCTCTCCAACATCAGACCTATGGTAAACATCACTTCCACTAAATCAGCAATACCGATATCTTTCTGATAAAAAAATTCGTCGAATGTGTCTGCTTGCTTCCAACTCGGCGAATGTGATCTAAAGAAAGAAAAGAAAAAAAGAATTGCTACGATCTTGTGGAATACGTGACCAGGTCGAGGCCAGGTTTATCAGGCGTTCCATTTAACGTCAAGTGTTTCGTATAACGTAACCGTGAAAGAAACTCGGCTGCCGTGTCGCCGGATTTTTTTAACAGGAGTTTGCATGTTTGCACAGCAGGTGGTTAGCCGCGAGTGACACGTCAGGCCGCTCTCTCGAATTTGTATTCTTTCACGGAGTATCGAGGGTCAGGCGACAATAGTTGCTTTCAAATTCGAACAGGTCCCTTTGGATCACTTTTATTATGATAATCTCGTTCGAACGTTCGGGAAATTCCTGGGAAAGCGTTCCGCGTGAGAAACCGCGAGTCTCGGGGATAGGATGTAGTTGACGTTGTTAATTATCTACCTTAGATAGAGCGAGGGAATGAGATTTCAAGTGTATTTGAAACAGAATAGAAGTATTTGGGGAATTTTCGCGTATTGGAATATTGAAAAGTTAGAATCGTGTAACATTAAAAATCGAAGAAAGTACTATTTGAGTGCACATTCCATTCAGTCACCAGATTCTATTTTTTTTTTTTTTTTTTAATATTGGAGGAAAATCCCGAAGAGTCCCTAAATTTCCTAAAAATCGGTGCCATAGGTTTTAATTCTCGAAACTTTTCAACAAACATTCCAATAACAATTACTCGCGTTTGGATCCAATTATCTTCGCCCCGGAGAACATTCCAAAACCAGAGAGCACCCTCTGTATATTGCAACATCCTCAACTTTCACGCCACTTCCACTCGAATCAACCGTCAGAAACCGAAACTTTGCTTCTCCGTTATCGGTGATTGAATTACTCGATGTTAGGGCGTAGCTGAAAAAGAAGAAGAAGAAGAAGAGCAGCAGGAAGAGAGACTTTCGAACTCTTTCGATCAGGGAGAAAAATTTCGCGATAGCAGGGAATCTCTTTACTCTCTGAAAGTACTTACTTACTTCGTCGCGTCAAAAGAACGACAGGATGATACAGCTCGCGTAGAAGCGGAACGAGGAGGAAAAGAGAGAAAGAGAGAGAGAGA